TGTGTGTGTGTGTGTGTGTGTGGGGGGGGGGGGGGGGGGTGCGCTTTCACAGCGCCCACCTTTGCCGGCTTGATCCCCAACCCCCAGCCCGCTCATCATCCAGCTCCGGTTTCCATGGCAACCCCGCTCTCAAATGACTGTGGCGTTCGGCTTTCAAGGCGTCTGAGATCCCTGACTCAACACAAACAACCCAAATAACTGCCTCATTTTATCCTTCTTTAAGAGGAAAGTAAAGAAACATCAATGTAATCTTTGGCCATGAATATAATATCTACTTACTAATTCATTCATAAATGTGTTTTTATGGTTTTAATACAATGGTGCTTTAAATTAACACACACAGTACTGCCACAATATTGGTAAGTACTTGACAAATAAATATTGCATATGCATTTATGATATATAGTATGACATATATTTACCTACAGTGCTAACTGGCTTTTGCAGACACAGGCCCAGTCTGACCTTAAACACCTGGCAGTCATGGACGCGTTTGGTGACATTCCCTTTGACCTTGCTTTCAGTAAATAAAGCAAAGTGAATCATGGGGGCTGTTCTGCTGGGCTCCCATCTCATTACCGGGGATGGGGTGTGGAGTGAGATTATGTCCCATCTGGGAATGGACAGAGCACTTCTTTAACCAATCACAGTCTTCATCGTATGACATCATCATTATTATTGTTATTATCATCATGAAATATGAAACATTGCTCCATACAGCCTTTGCAGGTAAGCATGTTCCTATGTTCTGTGTCTGTGACTTGTCACTTAACAAAAGGCTTGCACAATAAAATGGGTCCATTATAAATCTGTGCACCTTGCCGCTTAACAGAAAACACTGGCTTTCATTAATGTGTTGATATCATACAAGTAAGACTGTTATTGGTTAAAGTGAAACGCAAGCCACAGTGAACTCGGCAAAAACATGACACAGCACTTTAAATAGTGTAAATTATACATATATATGTATATTTGTGTATTTCTCTTAAGTGTAATTGTAGTAACTGTGTAATGTTTGCCGTCGAGTGCATGTGTTTTGTTATCATGTGACCATGAGTGTAAACTGTTGGCTTCCCTGTCTGCGCCGCTGCTAGTATTACAACCAATAGTGGCTGTTAATAGAGAGAGTAACTTCCATTCCAAAGAAGCTGTCATCTCCCTTATTAAAACGACTCACTTGCTCTCCACAATACATTTATTTGGGCTCTGATTGTGGGTCTGCTGCATTGAAAACACACTGTGCCTTCCAGGGCTGTGGCGTGACATAGAACAAACAAGGTGGTAATGTGACACATTGTTCTCACTGATGTCTTTGATTTCTTCTTGTCTTTCGAAGTACACGTCAACGCCGGTCCAAGACACCGTTTGGCAATTTGCCTAAAATAAAATTTGTTGATACCACAAAAACCAGCTTCAAACAATCAAACAAACCAGCTTTGCGTGATTGGCTGCATATAACTGATATATTTAATCATCATACCTGCGATGCTAGATATTTAGTGAACAGAAGCACATTAAAATGGTTTGATGGGTTTTCTTTCTTCAGTTGGTGGCATTGCTGCAATATCTCTGAGGTAACTGGGCAGCCAGAAATATGGGATGTAACCCGTCACCGGTAATAAATCTCGCTTCACAAAAGCGTCCTTGATGAGAAAGGTCAGCCTGCTTGACATCCAAGGGCTCGGGTGCATTTCGGGGGGGAGATGATTGCATTCCTGCAATGAGATGTGAGCAGCTCTGGTTCCAAAGTAAACTCAGAGAGGCCCCCACGCCCCAAAGCCTCCCCGCTTCGCCCGGCTATGTCTGTCAGATGGCGAGGGCGGGAAATGCACCATTTAATGCTTATTTACCGGCGGAGAGCCCTGGGTCAAGCCAGAATGGAGAGGGAGGAAAAAGCTCTGATCCCTGAGATTGGGCTGTGCTCAGATTTCTGATGGATCACCAGCAGCTAATGAACTGCTGCCTCGTTCTTCCATTTTTCATAAATGCTTGTAAATTTTACACCAACAACTGCTGTAGTTTCATATGCAAACTTTATTTGACATTGGATTTAAGTTATACAAATGGCACATAAGCGAAAAAAATAACCACATTATCAAAATGATAAAAAAATAAAAAAGGAAGTCTTACCTTTATGAAATAAAGGGGATTTTTTTTAACTCATTGATATTCTAAGAAAGACACAAACATTATCATCCTTCTTCCTTGCCTTTATAAGCCGTCTTTGCCCCAGAGTTTTCCTCGTGTTTCCTAGGACACCCTGGCCGCTTCCCCGCATCAGGGGGCCTTTTCTGATCGAACCCGCTGCCCTTGAGGCCAAAATAGGCAATGCGGAAGTGTGAGGTGGGCTTTCAGAGAAGCGTAGCACCAGTTTTCAGAGCACCTTGGGGCTTGAGGAGTGTGACGTGCAGTTTGATTTGGGGGGCAGTGCTGCTCTGGGAGGAATCGAGCCCCTTGAAGTGGATGCTCTCAAGAGGCTGTGTTCTCATTGGTTGATCATCTTTGTGTTCATGATGCCCCGCCCCCTCTTGGTGATAATGAAGGAGTGCCCATGATTACGGAATGCATTCGGCTCCGAAGAGGTTCAGACTTCCCAAGCCGCCATTGGCCTGTGAGTGAGGTGATCATGGGGTTGCGCAAATTTATTTGAATTTTTTTATTGGTCAGTTAGGAAAAGGGTTTTGACTCCCCCCCCCTCCCCCAGACTATGATAATGCCTGTGCCTTGGAATGGGATTTTTCCAGACAAAAAAAAAAACAATTTGTGCATTTCCAGTAAACTCCAGTAAACAAAGTGATGTGCTGTATGACGGCTCCAGGGAAAAGGAGCAGGACTAAACTCTCCACAAGCGTCTGACTAGTAGAGGAGGGCTCATCATCTGATGTTCTGAAACATCCACAAAGTGTTGAACCTGCAACATTACCTTAGAGCTTCTTGTAATACATACTTTAGGTTTACAGTTACACAATTAACACAGCGGCAATGAGGCAACTCCACCACAGAGGGCGACAATTCACATTGTATAATGTTTTTTTTCTTTTTTAAATAAAAATAAGACATTTCTTGGTTAGATTGTTTTGCTCCAGGTCTTGGGCATAAATGAGATGAGACTTATCAGGAAATCCATTTCCATTTCAGTTGCCACTCCATCTGGCCAAATGACACTGAGGGTTTAAGTGGTATTTTCAAGAGGTGCTACTTCATAAATTTCCACTAAAATAAACAGAATATTGCAAGGAACGTTGTGCATACAGTTTCCAGTTGTCTGGGGCTGTATATCTGAAGCAGTACTGGATCACCTACATACCAAGAAACAGAAGAGACAGGCTACACATTCAAACTTCAGGCGGTTACTGCAAAATACTATGATCAGTCTTCTGGCTTTAAAATACTGAGCGCTGGCAATATACAGAGAGGCTTAGACTTTCTTAAAGCAGAGGCAGGGCTGAGAGTTAGTTTATGATGGAAGGGGACAGTTTGCAGGAAACTCAAACATCAGCGAATTTGATGAGGAAACTAGATCTCACAGCTCTGTGAACGTGCATGTGGAGCTGGCTTGCCGGAAGCGCGACCCATCAAATGCGGCAGAGAAGGCGGTTTAACAGGAAGCCTTCTAATGCAAGAGGACACTGGCCTTCCTGGAACCGCAACGCGAACTATCTGTACGGGACCATCGTTCTTGTGGCTGAGGTGCTGGCCAGGGTAAGTACTTTCATTTCTGCTTGGGTTGGTGGTAAGATCATGTGACCATATCCACTCATACTATTTTCCTTTTTTGTTATGGTTTTTTTCCCTAAACTGCATTTTGATATTTGTGTATATCAAACTTTGGTTTTTGTCAAGTGCAGAGTTGCATCGACCAAAGTTACTGCCAAACAAACCAGATTTGGGGGGTTTATTTCTGAGCTCTGCCGTGTCGGAGGTCGCTTTGTGCTGGGTGGGGGGTGTCTGTCTCGAAACCACACAATTGCCGGCGTGTCAAGTCTGTTTCAGACTGATTCAGCTACCGACGATGAGTTTCGGCCACTTAAATGTCACATGCATGCACGTTACAGAAAACTCATAATCAAAATGAAAAACGGAAAATGAATGAAGATGATGAACAGTGAGAAGCCACAGTGGTGACTAAAGTGCTGCTAGTACTCCCACATGGTGGAGCTCTCCACGGCGTCGGCATTGGCCTTCAGGACCCCGGCGTGGTCCCCCTTCAGGTACTTGCCCTTTGTGGTCTTGATGGCCACTTTATTATAGTCGCAGAACTCCAGCAGGAAGTGGACCGGAGTGTCGCTGCTGCTGGTCACCGTGGACTCGCTCCCCACCATCCAGTACTTTCCAGTGCAATCTGGGGGGGGGTGGAGATTACAGGCCTGAGGTAACAGGGCAGCATCAGCAATTGTGGGGAGTCACTGATGCTTCAGCTTTTGAGGTGGGCCTTTGGAATCTTGATTAGATACATCTATGCATGGATGAAACTGCGTTTGCCTCAATCTTACTCTTAAAGTGTAATCTTACACCAAGCACAAGACCAGCGTGTAGATGCACATAGGTAGCTAATAGTTTGGATAGTTCAGGTCCAGATAATCAAAATTCAGACCAAAATCTTGTTTCAACCAACCATTCAGCATAAAGAGTCACAGATACAGATTACTCAACTGGTTGGTTGAAACAAAACCTTGGCGAGGATGTTTAATTACTGGGCCTGAACTATACACCTCTGGTAGCTGATTAGTCCTGCTGGGACTGACCTCTAAGGCTATAAGCCCCATTGTCAAAGTCCAGCTGAAAGACATCATAAGAGGAGCGGTTGCAGTCCAGGGTCCCGGTCACTCTCCGGCACCCGATGAAACCATGTTCCCCTCTCAGGACAATCAGGGGCCTGTTGATGAGCTTCATCAGGAACTCCTCTGTCTCTCCTAGGCATGAATGGAGCAGAACGTATCGGAATTTTAATATATACATTAGGCTGAAGGAAGGGTGTGACTCGAGAGCCTCTTGCAAATGCAGCTGTGCTCAGTTGTATCTCATCTCTAGACCTCGAAATTCTGACCTTGGCAATGCCAACTAATGGAAACACAACACCATGGGCAGCTGTGGAGACCAACCCTCCCCAACTCACCCGCCGATTCGATGGTCGCTGCTAGCTGGCCGTTCTTCTTGGCCGCCACGTATTTCCCATTGGCGGCCCTCAGGGTGATTTTCCTGTCACGCCACTCGATGTCAAAGTAGCAGTTTGCAGACCTGGAGGCACAAACCAAACCGCAAGATGATTCAAGCGACCAAGCGATAGTGATCCCATTGCTGGTGGATAGATCCCAATTTCGACACCAAATACATATTTTTCTGTTTAGAAAAGTACTGCATGTTCTGCATATTCCTATATCTCTTTGTTCCTGTTGGAGTGGAAAAGTCATGCATGAGTTTTAGTTACAGTTAAGACTATAGAACCTATACCACTAGTCTACTGCAAGAGCAAAGGTTTAAGTAAAGTGATGACCTCCCGGATCATAATTGATCCCCTGCTTGTCACATGTTTTCGGCAGTGATTTCCTGATTGTGGTGCCTATTGGATCATTTGACAAAACAGGAACATGTGCAATTGTTTAGATGATTCTGGGTTGTCCTACGTAATGGACTTTGATCTCTCACCCTGAGCTTGAGTCCACCTTCATAGGTACCAAGATTATAAGAAATTTGACTGGGATACCAACTGGCAGATGCATAGCTTTGAGTTTTTTTAATTTGAGGTTTATAAAAAAACATTGAACTTTCTACAAGGCCTCAGCTAAAAAACTCCACTGAAAGAGTTAGACTTAAACTTGCCACTACAGCACCTTGAACTCAAAGAATGACATGACATGGGATAGGAGTTTAGTTGAAATGACAGGTTATGTGAACTCATAACCTCGTACAGCTAGAGTAGAGTATTAGTAGATCCATGACACCAGACACATTGATCAGCTCATCACTATATATCTACAGCAGGAATGTGGCTGTGAGGACTGATGATTCTTCTGAACGCTAAGGGGACCTAGCAGGAGGAAATGGACACACACTAGGCTTGGGCTCACTTTGTAGAAGCTGTACACTGCAGTCCACCGTTGGCAGTCAGGGTCCAGTACTTCCCAGTGCAGGTGCGGAAGGCACACTTCTTTGTGTCCTTACTGATCTCCATCTGGAAGGTCTCCTGGTCGCTTTCCTCATCTTGGTTGGCTGAAAGGTCCATTCCTGAAAAACAAGCAAGTCCAGAATCGGCTAAGAATGCTGGTCTAACGTAAACAATGAAACATCAAATGGAAGGCTGACTGAAATCAGACACAAAAATTATTTGTAGATATACTTTTGTAGAGGTTTGCGATTCTGCCTGATCTCCATAGACATTGTGATGGTTTTTTTTTCTCTTTTCTTCTGTGAATAATGAACTCTGTGAGTAATGACCATGGTGTCCAGGTGTTCCCACATCTTTTGAACTTATTAGAAGCTCAGTAGGAAATCCAGGCCCTTCCACTCTGCTCAGTGACCTTTGCAGACCTATCAGGATCAGCCTCCAGGATCCCCTGGAGGGAATAGCCGTCCTCTGGGACTCACAGTCCTCACACATGCCAGAAATCTTAGTCAGGCAACAGCAGCCGGATCCACAGACCACATCCTCTGCAAGCTAAACCTGACTCCCGATACTGTTAGAAAGCAAGACGTGAAACAGCTACAGAAACCCACTTCAGAGTGTGTGGACACTGATACCTAATGGAAAATGTGGTTTAGTTACATCTTAATCGACAGGACCACATCACTATGCCACACTGGAAGTATTTACAGGAGACCCTGCAGCCACATTAAAATTCTGCCCTGACTGAACCACTGAATAGAGTGCATTTTATTTGAGCTATTGAGGTACTAATCATGTGGCTCCACTTTCTCCATCTGCTCAGGATATATTAGGAGTTAACATAAGGATACATATTTCTGTATGGAACACATGTAGAGCATAAAGGCCTGGATGGGGTAACAGAGGGCAGCTTCCCAAGTTCCAAAAGGGAAAAAGCACATACGTGGCGAGGGTTATTATCAGAAAATGTATCTTTTCACGTCGTGAATCCATCTTTAATTGGCATCGTATGCTGCCTTCAGTTTTGTCATCATTCACTCTTCTATCCAATCATTTCAAACTATCCCCATCTCTGCCTTTAATTACTTTGGCAAAAGATGGTCTCTTCGGGAAGATTAAATTTCCACAGAAATATGCGAGTATGACTGAGTGAGCGAGTGAGAGAGGGAGAGAGGAGGGAAAGAGGGAGGGAGGTGGGGAACAGGGGTGATGAGAAACACATGGGTCAAAATGGCTGCTTAGCAGAGCTGCCGCGGTGGACACGAGGGCCTAAAACGAGCCGTAAATCCATCTGGGCAAGAGAAACTCCTCTTCACTCTCCACCAACTGTAAAAACGAGCTTCTTAGTGAACCTGCTTCTTTGCTTATTTGCTTTTCTGTGATCTTTCCTGATATGTCAGCTTCTGGTTAAATTCAACATGGGAGCCTATCGGTGAAAATAGTCGCAGCTGTTAAACGTCTGTAGATAAAGCAGCGCTCACTCCTCACAGCCTCCAGAAGGCAGCGTCAGCACCACTAACCAGCAAGCACATCTCCAGAGCTCCTTAAACGCACTTAAGCTCTCTCCGGCAGCCGTTGTCCTCACAGATGACCTGTCCCCACTGATCTCCCAACAGATATGGGGTCTCTGTCCATTAAGGCAGCTTGCCAAGGGTCTGGGAGCCCCGGCTAACAGAGCACGAGTCGCACTTCTAGAAGCCCATGCCGACCCGAACTTTCTGGTGAAATAAGAGCCCATCGCAGAGGAATGGCTATGACGTCGAGTTTGTCCACGCTCACTCTTTGATGCATATAAAAAGCAGAGAGGAGCTGCAGAGAAGAAACGCTTAGAGGACTGGGAAAAATGGGAGAGGAGAGTCCGCACAGTGCAGCCTGTCATTTTAAAGCCACACTGGGCCCTGGCACCAGAGCCTGGAGATTAAACGCCAGAATCACGGACGGCTTAAACGCTGACATGTGCTGCAGGCAACCCTAAAACCAAACCCATTATAGTTAGATGTCCACATGAAAAAAGCTCCTCTAAATCATTAGGGAACCAAGAGTAGAGCTACGGGAGCTTTTAACCTGCCGCAGGATTAAAGGCTTTTCTAAAGCATGTTATTTTACTCCCTTATTGCTGGACTGAGACTAATGTCCTAAAGAGGCCACCATTGTTCAGGGGGGCTGGGGCCTTTCAGCTGGGGGGTGCCGGGAGAGCCCTGGGGGGTGCGCTCTGCCTTTGTTCTTTGGCCACAACCGGTTCCTAACACACGGGCAGAAAATGCCGAATGCAGCCACTAATGTAATGAGCTGTGGTCTAAGGGCTGCGCCGCTAGGTAAACAGGACGGGTCTGTGACCGCCAGGTTAGCGTCCGGCTAGTGCCTCTACAAACTCCATAGATGCCCGGCCATTGTCTGATTATTTGCTTATGCAGATGACAGCTAGGTCCGCTTGTTTGCTTTTTTGCAAATCTATTTATGGTCCGGCCAGGAAATCGAAGGCAGTGGTGCACGACACTCGTCTGGACAGAACAGCCAGCGACAGAGGCTGTTTATCCAGCAGCTGGCCTAGCTTGCCCCTCTCAGAGGAGGGCCCAGAACGCTCCACAGAAATGTCTCATTAGAGTCTTTCAAGCCACGGCTGGGCAAATGAAAGGCCTTTGACTGACAAAAGGGAGCGTGCACAAGAGAGGGGCCTCGTCGCTCTCTATTCTACAGCGACCACGTGCAGCCGCTGGGCCCCTGGCATCCAATCAGCCGCCTGGTGGGTCGGGCCACATCCCGCGCCAAAGCATTCACACACTATCACCCCGAATGCAGAGCAGCTCTTTTCTTAAGAAATCAAAGGGCATTCTGGGAAACTGGTCAGAGAATGCATTTTGTAATTATGACAACATGTGCTAGTCTTGGTTACAATTTCATGCTTTTGTCAGACATTTTGTTTAAAGTATTAGGACAATTCTAACTATTTTTATAAAATTAAATATAATATAAAGTCAATAAAGAAGAATATAGTTTCTCTTAGTAAAATATTGCATGTCTGTTCTTAAATAATTCTGTCGTTTGGCCTTTTCTCCAGACAAACATGATGGCTACCCATTTCACACTCTTTTGAGCTATAGCGACAGTTTTAGCAGCATAATCACAGTGTAAGTGGCAAGCATCGGACTTAGTGTCACAAATACTGTAGCAATCCTCCCTGAACCCAATTCTTGGTAAACTGCCATTAAAGCAAACAACTTAAGTGATACTCCGTTGACATTTTCAATACAGCAATCAAAATGTAAACCAAAGAAAAAATCACTAAAAACCAAATATGAAACTAAAAATTGGTGAAGTGCTGGAAAGATCGCATTTTCTTACCTTCCTTTTGCCGACCGTTTTATTCTGTTGTATTTTAAATAAGACCGCATACTTTAGCCAAAGGGGTAGTGCTGACGCCAAATGACCTTGCCTGGAAATCACTTCGACTACTACCGTGAAATCAGTGCACGTTTCATACAAAGCGAAAAAATTATAAGGCTGTTTCCTGCAGCAGGAAACAAAAGCTTTCTTAAGGTAAACGCATCGCTACTGCTGACTTTTCCCTGATCGGTCAAAGCTTGGAGTGATTGTAGCGCGTTCGAGCGTTTTTTTTTTTTTTTAGTTTACTTCTAATTTAATGTCTCCTGTTAGGGGGAATATAATAAAACCACCGTATCTCCGAAGCCTTGTAAGAGGCCGAGAGAGAAGGTCATGGTTGGATTTACAGCTGTGCTCTCTGGAATAAGATTTGCAGTCCTGCGTGTGCCCATTATGTCTTTTTGAAAGGTGTATATACAAAGTATCAGCTTAATGTTCCTTTAGTTTACCGAATGTCACCTTTTATGTAAATCAATTTGAAAACATTAACCAATTTGTCTGTTAGATTTAATAATATGTTTATATATATATATATATATATATATATATATATATATGTTTTAATAACAATATACAGCATGCACATTGCGGGTGAATGGACACTGGAGGTCTTACCCTGCCTGGTAGACACATTCCTGTCGTTTCCAGAGGTTAGCACCACTTGTGGGTGACTCTGTTCCAGCACGAAGAGCTCATCTTTCCCAACCTTGCTGCTCTTGCCAGATTTCATGGTCCCACTGGGGCCCGAGGGAGCCAGGTACTTCCCTTCGCAGTCCCTGAAGGCGACCTTTCCCGACCTGAACTCCAGCGTGTAGCCGGTCATTTTGTCGGGCTTCTGAGCCAGGGAGCCATCGCTCTTCAGGAACCGATTGTCCGATGTCTGGAGGTGGTATTTCTGGTCCTGGAACACGAGAGTGATCAGGGAGTCGACGCCCCAGGGGACATCCCTGTCAATCGCGATCTCGTCCACCTTTGAGCTCAGGTGGGCGTACCTCTTCCTGGTGATGCTGTAGATGTTGACCTGTGGGTGCATGGCGATGTGGACGCTCCATTTTTCCGCCACGGAGATAGTCTGGGCAAAGCAGACGATGCGGTCCTCGGTGCCGCCCAGGTAGCGCTTGTGCGGCTCGGACTGCAGGGACCAGCGCCCATCGTCGTGAGCTGTGATGGTGAACTTGCAGTCCTCGCCGGGGGTCTCGCTGTCACATGTGATGTTGCCATCCTTATCAGCCGCGATGTACCTGCCGAGGTGGCTCTTGAGGAAAACCACGTTGGAGTCGTCGCCATCCTGCTCCAGGGTCCAGATTTGCTTCTTCTTCATGCTGGTGGCTGAGGCGTTGATCTTAAAGCCAAACGTTTCGGCGGTGAGGTATTTGTTCCCGCAGTTGATGAGCCCAAACTGGATTTTGAGCATGTCGCTGGTTCCGTTTGCCGTCATGGTTGTAGCTAGGGCAGAGAGCGAAAGCGCTGGGTCTGATCGGGTTATGTGGTGGATGCGATGCTTGTGCGGATGCTTTGTCCAAGCCGGGAGCACGTACTGAACAGCAGCCTCAGACAGCCCGACGTCCAGCCAGACAGATGCGGCTTTTATACGGACGGGTGATGTCAGGCTGCCGGCTCCGCCTCCGCCTTTAAATATGAGCCTGGAGGAAAAATCTGCCGCAAAACGCCGATGATCTGCAGAGAAGCGCTGTCAGCAGGAGCCTTTTCCAGCGCCAATAGGTGTGTCCCTTAGAAACCGGTGCAATGTGTCTGCCCTAAAATCAGAGATCCTGATGCACGGAAAACACGGCATTTCTGCGTCATCGGGAAATGTTAAAACAGATGGATGATCTGCGTGAAATGAATTTTAATCGAGAGTATTGTTTTGCATCTATTCTTAATGGTCGTTGTTTATTGTTTTATTGTTGGTTTATAACACGCATGAATGTCAGTCGGTAAGCAGACGTGTGACGAGAACGTGTCGCTTCTGATATATTATCCCATCACCGGCGACAGAAAACAAGGAGGACAAAACTCTGTGTGTCTGATCACACAATGATCTATTCATAAGCGTGAAAAGCTGCTCAGAAAGGGCGAGAAGATTGTGAACGGCATACAACCGCTCCGTCCACATAATATTGGTGTAACTTTGACAGTATAAAATACAGTTTTTATGAGATAACCGCAATTTTCAGTATGTCCCATGAAAGGATCGGGATTTCAATTTCAAGTATCAAGTGTATGCTACTATGTCTCATTAGATGCTTTCAATTTCTTAAATAATATATGCTTTTCTAGTTTACTGAAGTAGATCATTTTGTGCTGTTATTTTGGTCCCTTTGTGTTACTTTTCATTGTGCAAGTGTGAGCAGAACTGAAATGTTCATGCAACAAAAAGTGGAGAGAATTAGCATTGAAAGCTGGGCCCCAATGCAGCCTCTGCTGAAGAATAGGACCATAAATATGTCACAGAGTGTGAATGAAGTGACTGAGAGGCTAATGTTTGCTAGGACTGGTCGCTGGGTGTCAGTTACTGCTATCGTACAGGTCCACAAATCGGGAGCCCGCTTGTGTTGTGGAATGGACCTGCTGTAACGGGTGACTGACTATGTCTCACATGTCCACACCAGGATAATGTGAGGTGAGGAGTTGAGAGTGGCCCATCTGGAGATCTCATCACCGGGGGGTGTGGGGGGGTCGATGCGGGTGAGGTCACAGTGGCCCAGCATCGTGACATATTCCGTGAGATAATCATGCAGACCCAAGCATCCATCAAAGGCCAGTGTGTCTGGCATATGTCTGACTTTGCAACAGTATTTCTGTTTGTGCTGAGGTATCCAGCAGCTACGAGACCTTGGCTGGGAGCGTGTCAGGCCTGAGCCCTCCTCCCCCACCCTCTGGGATGGTGATATCACTGGGGGCTGTTTCTGTGTGGTCCCCAGTCTCTCTCTCCCGACCTGACTTCCCTTCCGCTATGTCCTGCAGTAGGCTGGTGGTATGCCTCTTGCTGTGCTCCAAGCTATTTCGCCAATGCATTATCTGTACTGCTCATACTGCGATACATCTCTACACCTCTGCCTGGACCCCTTGGCAGATATGGAGCTGAGAGGCCAACAGCAGACAGCTGCGTGACATATTTCGCATTTCTGAAGAGTTCGCTGAACTTCCTCTGTGGATTCCAGCTCTGGAGCCGCACTCGAGTGGGCTGGGAGTTTTCGGGTTGCATCGTTCAAGGTTCGGCGCTGTCTCTGCGCTGGCGTCAAAACCTGCTTGGCTTAATTCTTTAGCACCGTCAGCGAAAAGAATCCTATAGGAGCTATGTTGGTGGGGGAGGGGCTGAGTGGAGCTGTGTGTGTGTGTGTGTGTGTGTGTGTGTGTGTGTGTGTGTGAAAGAGTGCAGACCCCAATAGTTTCTCACATGCTCTCCCACCTCCCCATCTTGCCCCTTCACCCTTTCTGCATGGGTGCTATCTCCCATTCCAGCCGGTCAGCTCCTTTGTCCATGATGAAAGACGTCCGTTTGTTTGCAGGGGAGCAGGGGCTCGCATACCACAGCCATCTCCCCCCTCCATCATTAGCGGAGGCCGCTAGCAGGGCCACTGTTTGCTTAAGATGAGGAGATGCCAATAGCGGAACGAGAGATAAGGAGCCATAAAAGAAGACTGTGGCAGAATGTTTTGTTTTCATAATTTGTGTTAAAGCTGTACATGGATAGATAGATAGATAGATAGATAGATAGATAGATAGATAGATAGATAGATAGATAGATAGATAGATAGATAGATAGATAGATAGATTTAGAGAGAAAGTGCAGGGATGACAGCATACTCACAGCCTCTATATTTGTCGAGAGTGAGATTCACACTGGGGCTCATCTTTGTCTGTGAGCTGTTGTAGTTGCCATGGTAACTGTGCTCCAATCAGCCTCCTGATAAAAAAAGTCATGGTCTGCTGCAGCAGTGTGAGAATGTTGATGAAATAGGAGTGGCAGGAGGACTATATGTTCATATGTTGTATATTTACATTTTAATCTCGCGTCCTAAATCACTCCCAGGCATGACTTGTTTGAGATAGCTGTAATTATTTGGGGAACTGCTCTAAGAAATGTTTGAAATGATCGGCGTCGAGTTACTGCTTAGCTGCTACAGTAATATCACTGATTCCTGATTAGTGTTCTTGTTTGAAGGTGGAACTATCAGGCCTTTCCCAGGGATCCGCCTGATGCCTGTCTGCTGTGCAGTGCCCTGTGGCTTTGCAGTGCTCTGTGGCTTTGCAGTGCAGCTGTCCACATCCAGCTGGGGTTCCCCAGTAAGCTCTGTCCGTCTCGGGGGGCCGATGCTCTGGCTGCTCCTTATATACGGGTGTCAGGTCACATCAATGCCCGCAGCTGTGCTGCTGATCCGGGGGGCATTCCCACTAGCCCCTCACCCAAATCCAACACCCCCACATGTCAGTGGGGACAGGCAAGCATTTGTCGATATCAATCAGCAAATTCTCCCATAGTTTCTACTTCCTTCCCCATTGCCCTCGGATTAACTGGGCAGCGTGGAAATTCCTGGCATCTTTCCAAGCTGAGGGGGGATGTCTTGCGCTGCCAGTAATGACGCCGCACCACAACGGGGTGGCGACGATTGTTCCAGCCTCCCCACAAACCATTGAATTTGGCTGGGGCTGAGGGACAGAGCTAAGTATGTCTGAGAGGCAGAGCTAGATGCCAAGGCCCCACCCACTTGACTTGTGGCGAGGGGCTCACTCTTGATGCGTGGCACACGGACCCCGGCATCCTACGCTCACAAACCGGTTTTTACTGGACCGTGTCTCGGTGATCGATGAGATAGGAAGCCTATCCCTATTAGTGGTCCTAGAGGGCATTCCTGATCCTGCTCACGTTTCTTCAGTAGTCCTGCTAGTATTCAATGCACGTGAGCCTGGTGTGTGTGTGTGTGTGTGTGTGTGTTCGGCACCTGAAGGACCTGCCGTAGTGCAGTGCGGTATCACATCGATATTATGCCCTGCATGCGCAATAATCACCAGGACTGCAGATGACGGCAGCTTTCCAGTACTATACGGACGTTTATTTACAACCACAATTTGTTACGCAGGTTAGCAGTGCGCCTAAAATATTAATGAGGCATTTTATGATGCCCAAAAGTTAGTAATCAGTAAAAATTTCGCATGTCCTGTGTTTAATAAACATATCAGACTTTAAAATGAAAAACTACCACCACTGACCTCTTTATCTTGTTTTTCCACAAGATCTTCTCTTTTAAAAGATGTCGTGGCTGCTGAGCTCTTCCTTTATTCACCCCACTTCAATGCAAATCGCACTGAAGTATACCAAACTATACCAAACTATAGTATACCAAAACAGTATTATGTGGTGTGCCCCACTAAAGTAAAGATACGTCAGGTTTATACAGACTTTTGGGTGTCACAAAACGCATTTCATTAATATGTACTACTCTGCTTAACAGTATAATACTGAAAATGCTGGCATCTGGCCAAATGTTTCGTCCATCATCTGAAGCCTGGGTGACTATTGCACATGCGGCATACAGTATCGATGGGATATTGCCCAGCTCGACTCTGCCATTTCCCATTACGTCAGCTCAGACCTGCACTCTGGATCTGTTGAGATTTAAACTGTGACACATTTGCTTAATAACTGGGCCCAGGAATGCAGTGAAAGACTCAAAAGCGACCCACCCCCAGATTTGGTTTCCTGTGTTCCCGCTCAAGGTCAGATGTCCCATATTACTCCCCGCTGGGGGGCTCGGTGGTACTCATACTGTGCCTTGCAGGTGGCCATTTTGAATCCCTGATGCAAACAGGCAGCCAATGAATCGATCCATTTGCTTAATGTGATTCATAATGCTGAGACTCTATATATCAACGCATTATCAAAAATATTATACAAATAGTAATTAAAGGATAATCATACCCTCTACAGACACCTTTCTGGGTGTGGCTGACAGGCAGTATTAACCAGTCACTGTCCATTGTTTTGGTGGGGTGATGAGTAGGCAAAGGTCACCGTCGGGCCCTTAAACGAGGCCCCCAGGACTGGCTGAGTCTGCATTGCAGGTTAAACATAAACGTACCAAAATTTCACACCAAAATATTTGGGAGACTGAAAGAGGCATTTAGAAATGAAAACTTTAGGTGCCAATTATTCAGGTCTAGGTGTTTAGATACCAAACTTCTGTTAATCAAGGGAACAGTGGACCTTCTACTGCAGTATAAACACATTTATATCACCTAATGTTGCTCTCTGGCTGCAACACAGGAAATTAACATGACAGTCATCTGTATACTGAGTGGTATGTTCAGGTCATGTGTAATTAGCATAGCAGTGTCAATACAGTATTATAGTAATGCGAGTTACGATGCCAGATGGTGGGGGGGGGGGGGGGGGGGGGTGTTACTGTGTCACTTGGATAACAGAACAAACACTTTCAGTCACTCTTGCTGGTTTACAGGTATTTATGAAGTCTGTCTTAGATCATATGTTCAGGTGCAGCCCCCCATACACACCCAACACCCCTTTCAGTGATTATTTACAGCAGATGACCCCCCCCCCCCCCCATAGAGCAGCCATGTCA